CTACAAACAAAACTCCCTCGTGGGGGAAAACGACAACAAGCAAGATCTGGAAACACTGGGAACATGGACAACGAACCAGCACAGGACTGAAAACACAGGGAGACTAAATAGGTAACAAACAAAAGGTAACGAGGCAGGCAGGTGAGGGACATTAAACAATAACGAGATAACAAGATGGGCGGGGTTTGACAATTGACAGGAGAGCACATGGCACAAGGAAATAACATGACAGCCGTGTGCTCAAAACAGACCAGACTAACACAAACACATGACAAACCGGGAGTGTCACAGCTCTGTCACTAACCAAGAGAAAACCCGGACAATGGTGACAGAACTGTGACCCTACCCCCCCTCAAAGGAACGCCACATGGCGTTCCCAAGGAGGGACATCAAAAACAGAGAGGGGAAGGAGGGAGGGGAGCCAGGGAGGGACGGGAGGGTTGAGCCAGGGGGGGAAGGGCGGGTCCGGACTCCTGGCTGAAGACCAAGGTAGCTCAGACAGTCCATCGGGTGGCCAGGGCGGATCCGGCTGTGCAGGTGACCAGAGCGGAGCAGGCGGTCAGGGCGGTGAAGCCCGTTCGGATGGCCATGGCGGTGAAACCCATTCAGGCAGCCATGGCGGAGAGAACCCTTCGGGCGGCCATGGCGGAGGCGACCAGGGCGGAGACAACCCTTTGGGCGGCCATGGCGCAGGAACCGACACAGGCGCAGGAACAGACACCGGCTCGGCAGACGGGACGTGAACAGTCTCTGGCTCGGCAGACGGGACGTGAACAGTCTCTGGCTCGGCAGACGGGACGTGAACAGACAACGGCTCGGCAGACGGGACGTGAACAGTCTCTGGCTCGGCAGACGGGACGTGAACAGTCTCTGGCTCGGCAGACGGGACGTGAACAGTCTCTGGCTCGGCAGACGGGACGTGAACAGTCTCTTGTGCGGCAGGCACGACGTGAACAGATTCGGGCTTCACTGGTAACATGGCCGGCGCCGGCAGGGTCCGGAGCTTGAGTGGCGCCGGCAAGGCCAGGAGCTTGGGCGGAGCCGTCAGGCCTAGACGCTTGGGCGGCGCCGGCAGGGCGAGGCGCTTGGGTGGCGCCGGCAGGGCGAGGCGCTTGGGTGGCGCCGGCAGGGCGAGGCGCTTGGGTGCGGCTGCAGGCCTCACTGGAGGCTTCGGGGGTTCGGCTGCAGGTTTCACTGGAAGCATCGGTGGTTCGGCTGCAGGCTTCGGAACCACCTCCGGGTCCTGTGGTTGGCCGGAAGCTCTCCTCCGTCTACGTGAGCGAGTCGGTGATACAAGCTCCTCTGCCACCTCTGAGAGCGCTGCAGGGAGAGAGGACAGCTCTGGGACCACCGATGTCGAATCCTTCTGGACCACCGGGCTTGGGACCACCGATGTCGAATCCTTCTGGACCACCGGGCTTGGGACCACCGAAGTCGGGTTCTTCTGGACTACTGGCCTTGAGACCACCGAAATCGGGTCCTCCTGGACCACCGGCCGAAGGGGGGCGACAGGAGCCCTCCTCCTCCTGCGCTGGTGAGGCGGTGTGGGAGTAACTGCCTCTGGGGGTGCTGCAACTCCTTCAGCCTCCACTGGATTGGAGGCTGATGGGTCGCACCCTTTCTTCCTCCTCCCTCTTCCCGAAGTGGGCCATCGGAGGACTGGGGACATGGCAGTTTGTGAGGTCAGTGGGAGGTGGGCCAAGAGGCGGAAGACCACCCTCCCAGCCTGCATCGACCCGCGACTGTAAACGTACCCCACAAACTGCCAGAAAGATAATATCCCCAGCATTCCCATCTCCCAGGCAGGCACAGGCTTATTGAGGCTGATGTTAAATCTTTCCTTGAGCACTGTGTCACCGATGTTGAGCCCCTCCGCGAAATACAGGAACTGGTAGGCAAGCTCCTTCACACTGCTCTCTCCTTGCCGAAGCGAAATGATCTTGTCCAGTTTCTCCACCATCGAATAAGCGGAGGGGCAGGAAGATGGGAAAAGGAAGATCCCCATTGTTAGCTGAGTCCTCAGTCGGCTGGTTCGTTCTGTCACGGAATGGGTAGATAAAGGTGCGAGGACTCAAGTGCATAACAATGAGTGATAATTTATTAACAACAAACAAACACAAACTACAAACAAAACTCCCTCGTGGGGGAAAACGACAACAATAACAAGCAAGATCTGGGAACATGGACAACGAACTAGCACAGGACTGAAAACACAGGGAGACTAAATAGGTAACAAACAAAAGAAGGTAACGAGGCAGGCAGGTGAGGGACATTAAACAATAACGAGATAACAAGATGGGCGGGGTTTGACAATTGACAGGAGAGCACATGGCACAAGGAAATAACATGACAGCCATGTGCTCACAACAGACCAGACTAACACAAACACATGACAAACCGGGAGTGTCACAGCTCTGTCACTAACCAAGAGAAAACCCGGACAATGGTGACAGAACTGTGACAGTATGTAGAAAAAAATATTATAGTAAATTGTTGAATAAAAATAAAAATAATATGAAAGGAATATGGGACATATTAAATAGCATAATTACAAATAGTTCTGGGCAACGAAGTTATCCTCATTATTTTATTGATAATAATACTATAAAGGACAATATGGGTGATGTGGTTAATAGCTTTAATAAGTTTTTTGTGAGTGTTGGAACAAATTTGGCAGAAGAAATTCCTGATCCATTGTTATCTGAAGATTGTGGTGAAAACTTAATAGATAGTAACCCCAACTCAATGTTTCTTACAGACGTGGAAGAAAAAGAAATAATAGACATTACAAACAATTTTAAATATAAAACATCTACTGATTGTAATGAAGTTGATATGAAAATTGTGAAAAGGGTAATTGAGGGGATTTCTAAACCAATAACATATATCTGTAATCTGTCATTTCACACTGGTAAATTCCCAAATAAAATGAAAAGGGCGAAAGTTGTTCCACTGTACAAAACTGGGGATAGACACAAGTTTACAAATTATAGACCTATTTCTTTATTACCACAATTTTCCAAAATTCTAGAAAAACTATTTTCCAATAGATTAGACAAATTCTTAGATAAATATAAAATACTTTCTGATAATCAATATGGATTTAGATCAAATAGTTCAACATCTCTGGCATTAATTGATTCAATTGAGGAAATCACAAACGCTTTAGAACATAAACAGTACACAGTTGGAGTTTTCATCGATCTCAAAAAAGCTTTTGACACAATCAATCATAATATATTAATTAATAAATTGGAACGGTATGGGATCAGGGGTGTAGTGTTGCACTGGGTGAAAAGTTATTTAAGTGGTAGGAAACAATTTGTGAAGTTGGGGGAATACTCATCGTCGTACTTGGACATTACTTGTGGCGTCCCCCAGGGGTCAGTTCTGGGTCCAAAATTGTTTTTGTTATATATAAATGATATATGCAAAGTTACAAAGACAGTAAAACTAGTGCTATTTGCGGATGACACAAATATTTTTTGTTCTGGGGGGAATTTACAGGAACTAGAGAAGATTACTACTTCAGCAATGTATAAATTAAAAAGATGGTTTGATAAAAATAAATTATCATTAAACATTAATAAAACTAACTTCATGTTATTTGGTACCTGTAAAAAGAGTATACAAATTCGGATACAGGTAGATGGGGTGGACATAGAACGGGTTAATGAAAATAAGTTTCTTGGAGTGATAATAGATGACAAAATATGTTGGAAATCTCACATAAAACATGTACACAATCAACTTTCAAGAAGTATTTCAATATTGAACAAAGCGAAACATGTTCTGAACTACAAATCACTCCACATTCTTTACTTTGCACTGATATTACCATATCTAAACTATTGTGCGGAGGTTTGGGGTAATACTTACGGATGCAGACTATTATCTGTATTTATGTTGCAAAAAAGAGCCATAAGGATGATTCATGGTGCTGGTTATAGAGATCACACAAATGTATTATTTTTAAAATCCAAGACATTGAAATTTACTGATCTGGTTTATGTTCAAACAGCACAAATAATGTATAAAGCAAAAAATAATCTACTCCCTGGTAATATTCAACAACTGTTTTTTTAATAGAGAAGGGAGATATAATATTAGGGGTGAGAGCAACTTTAAACAATTATGTGTCCGCACAACATTAAAAAGTTTTTGTGTTTCGATATGTGGAGTGAAGTTGTGGAACAAATTAAGTTCAGTACTTAAACAATGCCCAAGTATGACTCAGTTTAAAAAGCATTGTAAAAATATGATATTTGCAAGGTATAGAGAGGATGAAGGTTATTAGTTAGGTGATAGTTTATTAATATTTTTTTCTTTTTTTCTTTTATTATTATTTTTTATTTATTTTCTTATGTAATTTTTTATTGAAGATGTATATAAACATAGGTAAATGTTTTTTTTTTTTTTTTTTTTTTTTTTTGGTGTGTAGAGACAAATAGATCAAAATGTTCGGTCAACCGGTTAATTAGCTAATTAATTATTAAAAAGTAGTGGAGATGGTGTAGGATTGAATAAGCTGATGCTTCTTCCTACTCCTTTTCTGACATGTATAAGTTAAAATTGTTTTTTTTTTGTTATTAATTTTTTCTACATGTTCGAAATAAAAACTTTTCATTCATTCATACATGAATGTTTGACATAATTATATTGTTAAAACAGACAATTCCGGAGGACAGCATTCACGTCACTTAGAGCAATAATAGATCAACAGAAGTAACACAGGAAAGGAACTGCTTAGATTGATGAATTCAGTAAGTCTGGTTAACTGTTCAAATAATTTTATGTCAAGAGAGATAGGTTTTGCAAACACCCACAAAAACGTTCAGGAGCAGGGAATATGCTCAATGTAAATTGGCAAGGAGGCGGAGTATGGAAAAAACTTTAAGTATGAAGAGATTTGATTGACCCAGGTCCTCTTGGCTAGTGGAGCTCCTGTTCACTGTCTCTTATACTCAATCAGTCACAGGAGGTTCTCAAAGCTGATGGAAGGAGCCTAATACAACACAGATCAGGACAGAAGCAGCTCCAAACACAGGTAAGACAAATTTTATTACACATTATTGTACTAAAATAATATTATTACTATAATCATTGTATTCATTGCCATAATTAATTAATGGCAGTAAGAATTACTGTTATTATAAGTGGGCTGAATGTTTTGTATTGCAAAAATAATGGTCAGTTTAAGATTACATAAAACTGCAGATGATTTGATAAGAATGAAATAATAAAAATATCAATATTTATGCAATATTTATGATGTACACTACCGTTCAAAAGTTTGATTTCAGCAAGATTTTGTTTAAAGAAATTAATACTTTTATTCAGCAAGGAAGCAAAACATCGACCAAAAGTGACAGTAAAAACATGTATAATGTTCTAAAAGAATTGTATTTCAAATTAATCCAATTCTTTTGAACTTTCTATTCATCAAAGAAAAATGTATCACAGTTTCCCCAAATGTCCCAAACATTGATGATAATAATAAGAAATGTTTCTTGAGCAGCAAATCAGAATATAATGATTTCTGAAGGATCATGTCACACTGAAGTCTGGAGTAAATTCAGCTTTGCCATCACAGGAATAAATTACATTTAAAAAAAAAAAAATTAAATTTAAATTGTAATAATATTTCACAATATTGCTGTTTTTGCCGTATTTTTGATCAAAGAATTGCAGCCTTGGTGAGCTTAAGACTTAAAACTTACCAACCCCAGACCTTTGAATGATAGTGTTTATTTAGTATTATTAATAATAATTATTATTATTTTTTAAAATATATATAATTGAACTCAAGTTGTATTAGTTTTCGATTTCAAAACGTATTAAAGGCCAGTAAGCCTTTATGTAAGTTTTATCATAACTTAATCTCCAATTATTGCAGATTTTTTTGGGATGCCTCTGTGGTGGTGAGCACTTAAATAAGATTGGAATATTTTTTTTAAAACTGCCAGTTTTCAGTTGGCTAACATTATGTGCTAGTTTAGTCAAAGACATACAGTCCCTGTGAGAAGAAGACAGTGTGGCTCTGTTGCTGCAGTACAGTCCCTCTGCTGATAGGGTTTTTAGGGGCTTTTTCCAAAAATGCCATCTTGAGCTCAGCCAGCCCAGCTCATCTAAGCCTAAAATATATTTGAAAGACATGTATTTTATATTTACACAAATTTGAGCAGTAAATTAATGAATGTGTGACTAAACATGAAAAGTCATGCCAAGGCAAACTAAAGGAAAACTTTTCTCTTTTTCAGGGAACAGATCTGTCATATCCCAAGTACTTAAGATAGTTGAGAAAAATAAATATAAAAACTTTGCAATTTTGATTTAGGTTCTATATTATTAGTCCTAATTTGTATGAAAGTCAATGCCAACTTAATTCAGCATAAAATGTTTATCTCAATAGTTTTTCTCCTCATCCTAAGTCCTGTGTCTTCTCTTCAAGGCACACATAATAAGAAAAAAAATGACACTACCAAATTAATGGGCCATACTATTAGCCATAATGTTCCAAAGCTAGTAACTACATCAACCATCAAAGCTCATGCTGCTTCTTCAAAAAGTAGTAGTGCCAATCAGACTCTTATGTCCACCCCGAAGCCTGTTGTGGATGGTCTCCAGAAACCTGTGCCTTCTCTTCAAGACACACTTAGCGAGAAGAAAAATTCTTCTACTAAATCAAGAGTGAACACTATTAATCTTAATGTTCAGAAACCAGTAACCACATTATCAAACTCCAAAATGAAAAACCAAACTAAATCTGCTTCCTCAAAAACTAGCAGCATCAGTCAGGCTCTCCCATCCACTACAAAGCCTGCTGTTGATGGTGTCCAGAAACCTGGGCCTGCTCTCCTAGGGAAACTTAATGAGAAGAAAAATTATACTGCCAAGTCAAGAGCCCACACAAGTGGTCTTAATGTTCCAAAGCTAGTGACTACAGTATTGAAGACTAAAATGAAAAACCAGACTCATCCTACTTCCTCATTTACGAGCAGCAACAATCAGGCTCCTCCATCCCCTACTAAGATTGTTGTGGATGAAAGCTCACTTAGCGAGAAGAAAAATTCCACTTTTAAGTCAACAGATCAAACTATTAAGGTTAATGTGTCAAAGGCAGTGACTATAGTATTAAACACCAAAACGAAAAACCAGACTCAATCTACTTCCTCAAAAATTAGCAACGTTGGTCAGCCTCAAGACATTGCACAGAAACATGTACCTTCTCTTCAGGATCCACTTAGTGAGAAGAAAAATTCTACTGTGAAGTCAACGGCCCAAACTATTAAAGTTGTGACTCCATTATTAAACGCCAAAATATCCTCAACTTCTAGTAAAGTGAATCAGACTCTCCCATCCTTTAAAAAGCCTGATGTGGACACCATCCAGAAACCTTGGCAAAGTGTAAAGTCAACAGTCAACACTATAAAACCTAATGTTCAGAAACCAGTGACTACATTATTAAAGACCAAAATGAAAGACCAAACTAAATCTACTTCCTCAACAACTAGTAGAGTGAATCAGACTCTCTCATCCTCTTCCAAGCATGATGTGGTCACTGTCCAGAAACCTGTGCAAAGTGTACAAAACCAAATTAGTGAGAAGAAAAATGTCACTACTAAGTCAATCATCAACACTATTAATCTTAATGCTCAGAAACCAGTAACTACATTACTAAAGACCAAAATGAAAAACCAAATTCAATCTACTTCTGCAAAAAACAGTAGCATTGATCAGACTCTTCCATCCTCATCGATGCCTGCTGTAGATGTTGTTCAGAAACCTGTGTCTTCTCTTCCAGCTACATTTGGCGAGAAGAAAAATACTACTACCAAGTCAGTAAGCCACACTATCAATGTTAATCCTTCAAAGCCAGTATTCACAAAAATGAAAAACCAAACTCTTTCTGCTTCCTCAAAACCTAGTAGCAACAATAAAACTCTTTCATCCACACCAAAGTCTGCTGTGGATGTCCAGAAATCTGGCCCCTCTGTTCAAGGCACACTTAACAAGAAGAAAAATTCCACTTTGAAGTCTAAGACCCAAACTATTAGTCATAATGTTCCCAAGCTAACTACATTATTACAAAATCAGACTAATTCTACTTCCTCACAAATCAATCAGACTCAGTCAATGTCCCAAACTATCAATGTTAATTCATCAAAGCCAATAACTACATCATTAAACACCAAAACAAAAAACCAAACTCAATCTACTTCTTCAAAAATTAGCAATGTCAATCAGACTGATGCATTCACTGCCAAACCTGTAGTGGATGGTGTCCAGAATCCTACTAAAGACAAACCTGCAGAGAGTTCACCAGTTAAAGTAGTCATCACTGAGGGTTGCGTTCAACAGGAGTCTCACATAGATGCAGGGAACATTACCAAAATACGAGAAACAGAGCTAAGTTTGAATCCAGGATCTCCTCTGGTTATGACACATCACATCAACCTGGTACAAGGAGCCTGCACAGGAGGATGTGAGACGCAGATGGCCGCACTGAAGGACAGAGTTGAATTTCTAGAGAAAGAGATGTCAGTGATTAAAAAAATGTGTAAGTAAAATGTTGTACTAACAAAAATCTACAAAAAAGTAAATTGTTAACCATTACTATGGTACTTTAATGGCTCTGGCAGAAAAAAATAATGTGTATAGTAATTGTTATGAATTGAAACTGGATGGACTGGTTTTAAGTCACACACTGTACTGTCTATCTTCAGGTGTCCAGTGCTCAGGAAAGCAGTGCCCTAAAAACTGTAGTGGCCAGGGCAATTGTGAAGGCGGAAAGTGTGTATGTTTCCAGGGCTTTAGTGGCCCTGACTGCAGTGGAAAAACATGCCCCTCTAACTGCAACAAAAAAGGGAAGTGTGTTAAGGGGAAGTGCATGTGTCAGACTGGTTATACAGGCCTAGACTGCAGTAAGGGTAAGTAAAGCATATGAGAGTCAACCACATTTAATACTTCAATGTTTAATGTAATAGTTCACTACAAAAAAGAAATTCGGTCATCATTTACTCACACTCATGTTATTCCAGTCCTGTATGTCTTTCTTTAATCCGTAGAACATAAAAGGAAACATTTAGCAGACTGTTTATGCTGTTTCCTTTGGGTTCGGTCTCATTTGAGTTTTGATGCTATATTTCCTGTGTTTCCCGAGTATTGTTATTAACTGTTCTTGTTGATATTCCTATACGTTGTGCGATTATTACAGCCACCAACCAGGGGCTTTCAAACTCCAAAAATTACAAAAAGTAGCAGAAAAGTATCATAAAGTAGGCCATATGACCTATACACTATACTCATACTTTTGAAAGAAGTCTTGGGGCGCGTGACCACCAAAGCGTTTTTTCCCCGCAGCTACCATATTTTTCCAATTGGTTTAAATGGGAGCACCACTTTTTTTTAAATGCCAAGAGCGCAATGAGGCGCTGAGTGCTCAACATGTTTTACTGGTTGCCAAGATTTGAAGAATGTTCAACTTTGGGTAAAACTGGCTCATCACTGTCACTTTTTACCCACATAACAGTAATAATAACAGTATAATAACAGTAATCACATCCAATCACAGTGAAGGAGGCCAGGAAAAATACCGCACCGACCAACTGTCACATTCTGCTTGTACAACGTCAACAGATGACAACAATAAGCATAATAACGGAACAAAATCATTTAAAACAAGAGCCAGAGCAAATACTTTACATTGTATCAACATTTTTATTTAGAAACAATACGGAAACAAACTTTCTCTGAAATGAGATACTAGTTACACTTCCACTGATATTCTGTATCATAGCAAGCAAAGGCTTAAAAATGCTTTGGTGGACACCCTGTCTTAATGCGAGGAAAAGATGGACATCTGTATGTAAGATGAAATACAAGTTCTGTCATGAAACTCTAGATGGCGCAGGCTAATAGGTCCTCAAGTCAACCTGCTTGCAATCACATCATTCTCTATAGGGCACAGCTGATTGATTCCTGTTGTGCCAGTAGCCAATGAGCTTGCTGCTCAACCTTCAAATACTTGGTTACTTTCAGAAACCCTCCACCTTGCCCAGCTCCACCTGTTATAGATCTGCTACAGGTAATTCATGTGCGCTATATTGTACAGCAGCAGCATTTCTTACTTTCTCACAGCAGCGTGTCATGTATGTATTGGCAGTAGCAAGTCCTGTACTTGCTCTGCATCAGCAAGAAGCAATAACCAACAGATGCAATAACAGCAGCAGCAGCAACGTCGCAGATCTATTCTGCCAAGACCAAATATATCAACATTGTCATATGCATTACCATGCCAAACACTTGTCATGACAGAACTACTTTTATCGTTTTAAATGGTGCTTTTTATAATGTTAAAGCTCCCAATCCATTTACATTATGTGGAGCACAAAACAAAAAAAATCATACCACATGAGGGTGAAATATGATTATAGAATTTTCATTTTGGGATGAGATATTTAAGAATGTATCTAGTCTCACTCTGAACGACTTTTGCTTTTCCTAGGTGTTGACAAAAAGATCCCAGTAACTGTTGAAACTGTGACTATGAAGATGTCTACTGTCAAGCCAGACACAAAATCTGTGAAGACAAAGCCAGACAAGACCATTTTTGTGAAAAAGATAGATACAAAGGACCCAAAGAAAGACACCACAGCTAAGCCAACATTGTCCACAAGTAAAGTCCAGTCCAATAGCACAAAAAGCGACAAGATTATTAAGACTATTGGCCAAGTTCTGCTAAAGCATGAAGGTAGAAGACGTCATGAGCAAGCAACAAAGGGCAAAACAACAGTCATAAAACTGGTTTTAGACAAGAAATCCCAAACGGACAAGAAAAATAATCTTAAAGATGAACCTGTCTATCAGAATATGACTCAACGATCTGTGAAGAAGGTTGATGAAACCTCCAAAGTTCTAGAGAACTTGGTTAAAGGCACCAAAGGATCATCTAATGTAACTACATCCAGGACAAAGGTTACTATGAGAACTGCAGGTGATCAAGGGCTGGAAAGCAAGACTAATGTTACATTTACTAAAAAAGACAAGAAGCTATTCCATGGCAATGTAACAACAATTCTCCAAGCAGAGAGGAATCCTGATAAGCATGTAAATGGGACAAGTATTGAATCCAAAACTCATATGAAGCATTTTAACAGAACTAGCAGCACTTTATCAGTCATTGGATCAGTGGAGGTTCATAATATCACTTCTACTGGGTTCATTTTGTCTTGGGAAACTCCTAAAGATGCATTCAAGAACTTCACTGTAACAAGAAGGGAAATCAGAGCAGGAAATGAAGATTTAGAGAAAATTCAGGATGGTGCAGCAGCTGAAAATGTAACAGATGTCCAAAGGCCCGGTTCAAACAGAACTTCAACTAAAGTCCACAGTAACAAACTTGAAGGAAGGACTGTGAAAAAGTTCTCTCAAGTTATAGCTGGTACAGCACGGTCGTATCATTTCAAAGGCCTTCAACCTCAAATGCGGTACTCTGTTTCCTTGTTTGGCTCTGGTCTTGGTCTACGATCCAAAATTCATCGTCTTACATTATCAACTGGTAGGTTTCCCATATTTCCTGCTTTGGTTCACTGCAATAAACACCAGTGAAGAGCATTTACCCTTCTGCGGTGTGCTGGTAGCACTTCCATGAATACATGGGATACAGTACCTTGTGCATTTTAAATATTGACATTGGCATGCCCCATTTATACTATTTTAGTCATAAATACCAGGCATAAGTTCAGTGACATCAGGAGCACAAAACAGCCTTAGATTTTCTTCGGCTGTCAATTTCCAGTGCTAAAATTAATGATGTATACTGTATTAGTGAATGGGTAAGTTCACCATGCAATTATTTTAAGAGTGAATTCACCAATTGATTACTTGAATAAAATGGCATATTTATGTAACAATATAAATATGAATATAAATTTAGAACTCTAAAATATACATTTGTGCTGACATTTTAATGTCATTACTTTCAGTTTGAACTGCGACAACTTTTTTTTGGGGGGGGGGGGGTTGGGGGGGGGGGTTGTTTGTTTGTTTGTTTTTTAAAAGATTTATTTTTGGTGATTTTTTTTACTTTTTATTGTGATAGGATAGTATAGAGTGGACAGGAAGCAAGGTAGGAGAGAGAAGGGGGATGGGATCGGGAAAGGTCCACGAGCTGGGATTTGAACTCGGGTCGCCCGAAGCGCAACAGCGCTATATGTCAGCGGTCTGCCGGCGAGACTATTGGCGCCGACTGTTTGTTTGTTTTTTGACTGCGTTGTTCAACTTCTATATGACATTTTACCCCCTTACCATCTTTTTTTCCAGGCCCTGAGTCACCCACTGACCTGATGTTCAGCAATATAACAGAGACTTCTGTTTCAGTCTCCTGGGGAAAACCTAAAAGCATAGTAGCAGAATTTAAAGTCACGTACACCAACATTGTGACTGGTACTGAAAATGTTTTCGAGTTATCCTGCTTTTCTGCTTCAACTATTAAGTGTGTGCACCATTGCTGATGCGCCACAATTAACTGAGTCTGTGATGTGATTTTACAATGCTTTACCCTTTTATGCTGTAGGCGAGAGTGGCTCCATGTCTGTTGACTCTCAACTGTCCCATGTTCTCCTGTCTAAGCTCTCTGCTGGCTCCACTTATGATGTTACTGTGAGCTCAGTCCTGGAGACACTCAAGAGCGAGCCAATCACGGCCTCCGTCACTACAGGTGAGCACAGTTTTTTTTACTTGAAGTTATGGTTAAACGATACCACTTACAGTATTTGCTTTTTGATCCGATACCAAAAAGTGATTAAAAATCAAATAGTCTAGGTAGGGAATAAATACAGGCAGGGATTTTTTTTTTTTTTTTTTTTTTTGCACTTAATGCAAATGGCAATAGATGCTATTTAAACTTAGTGTAAATAGCAAGAAAAAGCATATAGCAGTATTGTCTTTGCATTAATTGTAATAAGTAGTTCGATGCTATTTATACTTAGTGCAAATAGTGGCAGACACTATTTGCATATCAGTGTATTGTAGTACATTATAAAAACCAAATGCATAATAACAACATTCGTTGTAAATTATTATATTTATTAAAATCATAAATGTATGCTTCCTTACAGGGATATTACTTGTCTCTATCCCTAAATCCCACCCATACACCTACTCCTAACCCTACCCGTTAGATAACCTAACCCTACCCTACCCTTCAGGCACTTTATTTCCACGTTTTGAACATTTTAAGCCGCCCAACTTATGCTCTAGTGAGAGCAGAAGTGTGAATAGTTCCTACACAAGTATTACTAACACATTTTTTTCCACTTCAAAGCTTATGATACACATACATTTTCATGCTAAATAAATTGTAAAAAATTTAAAGGATCAGGTTTCTAATATCAGGATTAATCCTCTCGATACAAGTATCGATTCAAGAACAATCTTCTTATCTCTACGTGATTTTGCAGTCATTGATGACTTTCACATTTCTCTAAATCCCAGTGCCAGACTCTCCTACTGAACTAAAGGTGGTGAACATCACAGACACTAAAGCTCTGCTAGTATGGAAACCGTCCCAAGCTAAAGTGGACAGCTATATCCTCAGTTATGGAACTACAAAATGTAAGTGCAGTCAAACCTATTAAATGGCTGGTTCTCCACTAAACCATCATGACTTACTCAAGTTGTTTTGCTTTCTAGCTCCTAATGTGACTATTACAGTGACATTATCTGGCAGTACTGTGGAGCATCAGCTCAGAGGACTCCATAGATCTTCTTTGTACATGGTGAAAATCACAAGTCAAGTCAACCGGCTCCAGAGTAGCCCAGTCTCCACAACCTTTACAACAGGAAGTGGTGTGTAAACTGTCACGATTATGTTTACTCACCCTCAAGTAAACCACATGGCACAAAAAAAATATTGAAGTAACATGTTATGACTGATAATCACTAAATATCTGTACCATATTGTCCAAATACATTTTAAAAGATGTTTTAAATGCTACAATGACAATTTAGGCATCGCAATGATAATGTACATTATAAAAATTGGAAATTTATTTTAATATGTTCTAAATATTATATTTAACAGTGTTATTAAAGTATTAGTGCTTTTGAAGATTACATTTGCTGTCATCTATGGTTTGTTTAATTTATCTAAATGTACATAGCATGCACAATTAAATATCCAATATCAGCCAATTTCTGTAAAATACAAAAGTCTGTCATTTTGAATGATATCCTTAGTTTTACTCATTGTACAGTCACAGTTGGTATGGAAAAATCAAGCGATGAACTGAAAATTAAGTAAAACTTTTAATTTTACATTGTTACAAAGTGCAATTCTTAAGTGTGTTTAGAAACATACCCTATCATGAAATTGTGCTCTCTTTAAGAACACTTAAGTGGTCTTTTATCTCATTGCTGTGTTATCTGCAAGTACTGCTTTTTGAAAGTATTCTTTTGAGATGTGAAGTACACTACAAATGCACATTCAATACTATTAAGCACAGTACTTTTTCACAAGGGAACTTTAATGCACCTAAAATGTAAAAATAAATAAAAAATAAAATGCTCAATTAAAAATCCAGTATCAGCCAATTCTGATAAATTGTAAAAATCTGCAAATTCGCCTAAAATCCTTAGTTTTACTCATTATACAGTCACAGCATCCATTTTCTGTAAAGCTGTTTTGAAACAATATGTATTGTGAAAAGCGCTATACAAATAAATGTAGATTGAATTGAATTAACTTGAACAGTTGGTATGACAAAACTTTGTGAAGAGACCAAAATTGTGAGTATTTATCACTGAAAATCCTCCTGTCCACCATAGTAGCTAAATATCCTCTATATGATCTGCAATATCTAGTTTTTATCCTATTTTTCCATGCCTGTATGATTTCCAGGAGTGAAGCTTCAGGTAGTGACTCCTGTGGTGACCTTTCACTCAGCTGTGATTTCATGGAGGGCTCCCCGTGTAGCTTTCAAAAGTTATAGGCTCACATACCAGCTGAACGAGGAAGTCCAGGTGAATATATCAAGCACTCAATAGCACCTCTCAGTCAAATTTAGCAGCCTTTCAACAATTGTCTCTGACCTTTGCTTATGAACAGGAGCTCATTTTAAATCCATCTGTGACGCACTATGAGCTGACTGGACTGGCAGCCTCCTCAAACTATACTGTGAAAATAGAGGGAGAAAGAGATGGACAATACATCAGTTTTGTCTCCGCTGAGTTTACCACCGGTGCGTAATGATCTGTTTCTTAACTTTCACCCCTCGTTGCGTTCTATCTTTAAGAGATTTGATTTCCTTCCTTCTTCCCCTGTAGCTATGCTCCCACACCCATACCCCAAAGAATGCTCAGAGGTACAGATCAACGGGATGAAGGAGTCAGGAGAGGCTGAGATCTACCTTGAAGGGAAGGATGGAGAGCCAGTCTGGGTCTACTGTGACATGGAGACTGATGGAGGAGGCTGGACAGTAAGAAACAAAATCCTGGATTGAGACCTCTAATACACTTGCAGCTTTCCCCATGAAACTGCTGTTGGAGTGTGATATATTTAATATTTAGATCCTTTTTAAAACAGCCAATAGATTTGGTTTAAGTCACAGCCTTGAATCATAGTGCCAAGCGTGACTTGCCTGATTTCATGGACAAAACAATTATGTAAAATGATATATGCTGTTATACCCTTTGACAAAGAAGTACACTTTATCACACTTTTTCAAAAGAGTACTTATTATGGAATAATAAGTAATAGGTAATTAATAAGTAATAATAAGTATTCCCTGAACACTGACCTCTCTACAATAAACTTTAAAAGAAACGTAAGTGTGACCTGAATGTAATGTTTTTTACACTTAATTGCATGATAATTGCAATTAATTGAAAATTAATAGTTTAAATTTATATTAGATGCAATTAGTTGAGTTTTTTATCTCTACATGTAATTTCATAATTACTTCTGTTCTGTTGTCTTTAAAATACTGTTAAAGTGTACTGTGGAATGTACGCTGTACTCAAGCATTTATTGTAAACTAAGTCTACTTCTATTGAAACTTGTATGTCATGCATTTAAATACATTTTAAATATATTATGTTACAATTTAGTGCATTTAAAATAGGTACTTTAATAAAAGTTGAATAACACACTAGTTAAAATTATAATTAAGTACTTTGCATCTGTACTTCTTTAAACGCATACAAATATTATAAAAACATAAAGGTTAAAAATGTACTTTAAAACTTTAAATACAAAAATAATTAAAAAGTGCACTTTTTAGAGTTCATTTTATGGACATAATGGTGAATGCACTTCACAATTTCATTATGATCCAGACAGCCCCTTTTATGAATAAAATGTGTAACATATTAGTAGAATAAATATTTTGTACACAAAATGCATTTTGTGACATCCTGAATGGATTTTGTCCATGACATTTAGTTTCCTTTTTTTATTTTTTTATCCAGTAAATTAAAAGGATAACTAAAAAAAAATACAATTCTGTCATCATTTACTCACATTCCAAAACTGTATGACTTTCTTTCATCTGTGAAACAAAAGAAGATATTCTGAGAAATGTCTCAGTGTTTATGGAAGTCAATGGGCTCCAATGTTGTTTGGTTACAAACATTCTGTAAAATATCACCTTTCGTGTTCTGCAGAAGTGAACAATGTATACAGGTTTGGAATGACATGAGGGTGAGTAAATAATGACAATTTTCACTTTTGTATGGACTATCCCTTTACAAAGTGCATAGACTACCATATACAGTATATTTCCTCGAAGCTAACATTAAACTTTTTTGAATTTAATCCAAAGATTTTAAGTCCCACCCTTTTCTGAATGTAGAGTCATGTTATATTACTTTATTCTGCTCATCTTGCGTTATGCCATCATTTTTTATTGTTTGGATCTTTTGTATTTTTATCTGAACTATACAGTTGCTTATCACAATTTTATGGAATTATGCGATATTTAACAGTACAACAAAAATTCCCAACCAGGGACAGGAGTTGAAAATTAGCATCAGCTATAAACTCTATATGCTGCGCATTAGTTACAGGCTTTGTATTGTAACTATGTTTGACTGTATGGGACTGTATAAATATATGGGGTTTTTTTCTTGAATAAGACTTTGTTGTTTTGCAAATGCAGGTATTCCAGAGGAGAAGGGATGGATCTACTGATTTCTTCAGGAGCTGGAGAGATTACAGCAAAGGCTTTGGTCTCCTGAGTGGGGAATTCTGGCTGGGTGAGATTTCCCACAGTGATTGTATTTTTTCAGAAACAAAAACATATTTTCAATTTAAACGATACTTGAGATTTCCACCTAAAGACAATCAGTTTAGAATATCAATAGTTTTATGTTGTTGTTGGGTTTTTTTTATTAGCACTCGTATTTTTTTGTAAATATTATTTACATTTTGCCCCAACTCTCCATAGGAAATGACATCCTTTACACTCTCACCAGTCTTGCTCCAATGAGCTTGCGAATTGACCTGCGTTCAGGAAATGACTCAGCCTTTGCTCATTATGCCAACTTCAACGTTAACTCAGAGGCTAATCACTATGCAATCGAGCTGTCTGGATACTCTGGTACTGCTGGTAAGAGAAAAGATCATGCTTTGTAAAAACAAAACAAAAAAAACTGTTTTTGTAAGACTATATTCTGGATATGATAGCTATATTCTTTCTTTTTCCAGGTGATTCCATGAAATATCACAACGGCCGTCCGTTCTCCACGAAAGACAAAGACCCAAACACCCTTAGCATCCATTGCGCTAAGGCCTACATGGGAGGCTGGTGGTATAAAAACTGTTACAAGGCAAACCTTAATGGTCTCTATGCCTCCTACTCAGACAACAAGGTAGTACATCAGCAAATAGCGTTTTTGTATTCATTAATCTTAGGTTTTAAGTACAATGTTGAGAGCAGCAAACTATAGCCTTTGGATATCAATTGAGCTTGAGTCTCAAATTGTCTCTCATTAGTGCAGATTTCTGAGTCTGTTCTTCTTTTCTCTTAGGGTGTGGTATGGATAGACTGGAAGGGCAAAGATGCTTCCCTCCCATTTACTGAGATGAAGCTTCGACCCTCCTATTTCAGTCAAACGATCCCAACAACCCAGGGTTAAAACTGCAGAGTGAAGAGTGCACATAGCGCAAATACACTGTACAAACTTCTACACACTGCTACTTCAGTATTGTATATTTACCAACATACACACAAAACAAAAACTGTAAAGAAATCTGATGGCAGCTTTGCAAAGAACATATCACAACCTCCAGCCATTCACAACAACTTTTGTAAGTTAATATAAAGTTTTTCAAAATGTTATGTAGACATGAGCATGTGTTGATGTACTTGTGTTAATGGGGGTCCATCGTTGATATTAACATTTCCGCTACTGGAATAACTGCACTGTCTTGCTCTATTGGTACTTTTTTTTTTTTTTTTTTTTTACATGACTGATTTAGAATTCCTCTCTATGAATTTGTTTTACTTTTTATGTTCAACATATGTAGACAAAATCAATAAAACAAAGTGCTAACGAGTCCTGGATTCCAAAAATGGAGTTTTTGTATATTATTCTTAATATTTCTTTACATAGTATTTATTATTTTTTATTATACTTACTAAATCTGCATATAATATAACTATTATTAATATAATAATAACTTTATGGCAGTATTTGCATGTGTCAAGTAGAAGGCTTATGTTCATATCTGTAATGATTCTGTGCATTAGTACACATGGACCCATCAGTGAATTATTACAACAAAACTTTTCTTTACAGGCAAATCCTTTTCCAAAAATCCTTTTCCAAATGTCTTTGTTCAGTTCTGCTAAACTGCCAGTTGAAGCAGACAGGTTTAACAGTAATTCCTGTGAGGGCTGAAGGCTTAGATTGTGGTTTGGCTATAGACTAGATTCCGCCATACCTGACACTATACTTCTTTGACTGGTTTTTCAGGGTGGTAACTGTATTTCACTATATTCCTGAACTTCTGCTGAATCACTGCTTTATTTGCAATGAATGGGGCCTTTCCTACCAACGCCTTGCGGCAATATATCAGCATGGAGCTAGGCAGTAAAGGATATACAATAGCATGCACAGTTGCACTTAGTGTTAGAGTCCACTATTTATATACTTCCTTTTTTTTTACTAAATAGAAACTTTGTTGGTCATAAAGCCAATGGGCACTTGGTATCCTGTAATATCATTCATCAAATCGTCATGTTAGAGGTTCATTCTTCTTGCTTTGAGAGTAACATTGAGATAAAGGTCAAGATAATATTTACCTATCCTTGATGAGAGGATACTTTGAGAAACAACACTCAATCATGTGGATTGGAGCAGGGTTGGAGGAGGAATATAATAAAAGGGAGAGAGTAAAAGAAAAGCTTTCAGAAAGTTTTTAGACTCAATAAAGAATCAACAGCATGTGTATCTCAGCAGTGAGTGTGGTGCTGTTACTATTCATTTTGTGGATGCTTGTGGTCCAACTCTGTAGACAGACTGACAGGCAAAGTGACAGAGATGCCAAAGCAAGCAACAAACCAGAAGGTAGGAGGTTTGATTCAAATTAGAGCTGTGGAGGCGTAGATTTAAGAATTTTCCATTGATACCTGAATACCAGAAAAGTGAAGGAGATTATGGGTGATATAACCAAAATCGGTAAGACTTTAGAATACGGTTCCTTCGTTAATGAATAACTAAGAACCAATGAGTAACACAATATTAACAATCTAGTAACTATTATTAACTAACAAGAAACTCTGATTAACGAACTAAGTAATAGCGCACAGATGAAAGTGGTACTTCACTATAGCTTGTTTTCATATGACGTCACGCCACTGCGTTGCCATGGCGCGAAATGCAAATGGAGGGCAGGAAGTGATTTGCTGTATTTAGAAAGCACTATAACAAACTCAAAATGCCTATGTTTTGCGTCGTTTATGGTTACTTAAATCGATCAAACCACGAGGAGTTTTTATCGTGTACCAAAAGTTGTTGTTCATAAAGGGGGAAAATTAAAGAAATTGACCGAAAAACTCCGGAAAAACGGCTTGCAAACCTACGTCTGCGGTCGGGAGGAGCCGAATGGGAAAATGCTCGTTTGTGCAGTGATCACTTCGTCAATGGTGAGTTAATACAACTTAAGTGGCTATGTTTGTGTAACGTGTAACATTTACGAACTTTGTAAAGTCAAAGTATGTCTGTAAGACGAGGTAGTTGCTGATATCTACCGCCTCGATGGCAGGAAAATCTTTCAATTCAGTTGAAAATCGCACCTCTTCATAACGTAAGGATCACGTCCAACATATGTTTGATTTTTTGTTTACATCTTTCTCTTGTAATAGCGTGTAAAGTAGTACAGTACGGACTTTGCTCCATCTCGTCCATTGCGCTCTTCACTCCCCTGCCCTCCATCTGAATTCCGCGCGTCATCATAATCACGTGACTGAAACCCAGCTATTAACTAATCAATAGACCAATTTCCAGCCGACGTCACAGTTACGTCACAGCGCTAGCTGGTGGCAGAACAAAGTGAAAACTGGAGGCGGCAAATACAAACCAGCACAGATTCGGCTACAAAATAAGGATCTTAAATTATTCTTATTATTATTTAATGTCATCTTGTTGTGTTGTTGGGTGCAAGAATCAATGAAAAATGAATATGCTTTATCTGCAATTTTTTATTTCTAGAAAATATTCACCTCATTAAAATTGCACCGTAATGTCACTCTTTACATTGTCGTCTTCATCGCGCTGGCTCGGCAGAACTGCGGATCGTACCCCACAAGTCTTGTACTTGACCATTCAGCACATAGTTATAGGCATCTAAAGATTTATATGCCCTCTGTTTCTCTATCGGGTAGGTGTAGAAGTCAGGCCACTCAACCGGAGGAAGCGTTAACGTTAATCCTGTCAGATCCTCAATCAATGAGTGTAAGGGTCGGCCGGTTCCGTCCGTTAAAATTAACTTTTGCAAATAACAATCGCGGTCCTGGACAGTGAGCGACCTTGCACATTAAGATAAAATCGGAATTTCTCCAGTCATTGTTAAAAACAAGCTAACAAAACTTGCAGACTTTACGTTAGTGAAGCGGCCAGAGGGATCGTTCTGCCACCACCTAAGCTCCGCCCACAGAAAAACGTCACCATGTTTACCAACTGAAAATTGGTCTATAACTACTATTTTTTTAATGCTTCCCAGAGAACTACTGAAAAAGTTTCATAATTCATGCAAAACTAATCAATAACCAATGCAGGACAAGACAAATGACTATAGCACTACATTAACATTTTAACTTCTACTGTAAACAAATACACAAGGTTGTTTACATTATCAATATGTAATAGCATAGCAGACTTATGATTTGGGAAAGCTGTCAATAATTGGCCTATGCTGTCTATTTATCAACTGAATAATTTTAAAGAAAGGGATTTTTAAATGCAGTTGTCGGGACCTTACTTGTCCTGTGGCCAATTTTCCGGCATTCCTCTGAACTGGCATTGAATCACTAGAGTCATAGTGAGTCTATATTGAGTCATCAGCCACATTTCCCCAAAAAATATGTTTTTATGTATGTCTCCTAGCTCATATATATATGTGTGTGTGTGTGTGTGTGTGTGTGTGTGTGTGTGTGTGTGTGTGTGTGTGTGTGTGTGTGTGTGTGTGTGTGTGTGTGTGTGTGTGTGTGTGTGTGTGTGTGTGTGTGTGTGTGTCTGCGCGTGCATATCTTGTGAGTGATTAGAACATTCTACACTTTATTGGCTTTTCATTAGTAACTGTAAGAATCATGGTAACAAACTAGTAATGACTCAAGTGTTACTACATACTTCTATGGGAATTTTCTAAAAGTATAGGCCTATTTAAAAGTTCACCAAAAATCTTAAATGCTTGAAATGACTTTTGTGTTTGGCTGCACAAATCATAACCAGATCATGTAACACTTGAGTCATTACTAGTTAGGTCCCATGATCTTCACTTTAGAATACGGATCCAAATAATTAGTAATTCCCATAGAAATAGTACCACTTTCATCTGTGCACTATTACTTACTAATTCGTTAATCAGTGTTTCTTTTTAGTTAATAGTAGTTACTAGATTGTTAATAAACTTTTTCAGTAGTTCTCTGGGAAGCATTAAAAAAAAATAGTAGTTATTGATTAGTTAATAGTGAAGTACCACTTTCATCTGTGCGCTATTACTTACTAGTTTGTTAATCAGAGTTTCTTGTTAGTTAATATACTAGATTGTTAATATTGTGTTACTCATTGGTTCTTAGTTATTCATTAACGAAGGAACCGTATTCTAAAGTGTTACCCCAAAATCTTATATCACGATATGAGTAATTTTATTTCATGAACAATATATATCACAATATAGATATTTTTTGTATTTTAAATAAGGTTTTTATGATTTCAAAATGTAATATACCATTGATATTTTGATAATTCTTGTCACCATTTTCAATATCACAAAAAACTAACTAAGTAATAAAAAAAACCTCTCAAGCTTACTGAAGATAAAGAAGTGATAAAGAATGAACAAAGAAACTAATTACAAGCATATAGGAAAACAAACAAAGACGTAACCACGATAGAGATGATAGTCCAAAATCTCTGGTTGACAAATTTCTACTGGTTAATCGTGTCTACCGGTATATCGCCCACCCCTAAAGGAGATTGTGAAATTTGACAGCTCTGCTCCATTTTGATATGTACTTGTCTTTCCACTGACCTAGCTGCTGTGCCCAAACTCCTGCATTCCCTCTCTAAGCACTTCCTTCCTCTTTCTACCGCTCTTCCTGGTCCATTCTCTCTCCCTCTGCTGGGCAATATGCTGGATCTCGCTCAAGATCATCTGCCCATCCACTTGACTGCACTGGCACATCGCTATGGAAATATCTATCGGCTCAACTGTGGCAGCACAAGTAATTCATCTTTTTATTTGATCTCCATGTTAGTAAAACTCATGAACTATGAACCACAACTAAATCCAATGTAGAATTGGCCATTCATCAATTTTGAATCATTTTGAACATTTAAATATTTATATTTTTAATTAAAAAGAAAGGAAAAAATAAACAACAGAGCAATGGGTATGCATTTTGTTTTTGAGGAAAGGTTTACATTTTCATAGTTATTTATCTTTGTTTATGTCATAACAGTATATTACATTCATTTCTCCCAATAGGAATATGGGATATATTACATTTTAAGGCTAAAAAAGTAAATTATCTGTAGTGTTCACCACATGTAACTCCTGTTCCATGTTTTCTGTTCAACATCAGACTGTGATAAGCACGTAGGCTATTAGTAGCTATAAAGAAAGTGTACATGTTTGTCATGTGGTACAAGGAATGCAAGTAAAAAGTAAACTGCACATTTGAGAGCAACTCTTCATATTTATGTGTGCTTTCGTTTCTTAGACAAGAAAGACACTACATTTTTTCGAGTTTAACACGAAAAACAAAAACAAAACTGCTGCTTAAATCGCGAGATGACGACTCTCCCTCGTTTTCCTATGTTTGATTCTTAGTCCGAAGGGGGGCGAAAATGACGGAGTGAAGTTGAATCGGTCAGTAAACAATTGTCTTTAAACATGTAATTTAAAGTGCATCTCGTTTAATACTATATATTTTCTAATATTTTAGGTGTCTGTTTTGTTACTGTCACGGTTCATGGATTCACTGTCTCGCCCTCGCGCTGTGAGTATGGTTATGTGTATTGGTAGGCGTGGCTCGTGATTGAGGTTGATGAGCGGATCAGCGTCAGCTGTTTCTCATCACGGCACCCTATTTATTGTGTGTGAGTTTGTCCTGTCTTTGTCAGATCGTTGTCGAGGCTCTCTGGATTCACCCTTGTCTTTTGTCCAGTATCCTGTCTGTTCGTTTGCCCGGATCGCCTGTTTTCCCTGCCGGATTGCCTGGAGTCTGCCCATCTGCGTCCCTGCGTTGCCAGTGTCCTGCCAGAGACTGAGACTTCCATCTGAACCTACTACTTCTATTCTTTTGTGAATAAACAGTTGTTCATTGCACTTGAATCCTATCGTTCTTTCTGGTCCAACTGACAGAACGATCTGACCATTATGGATTCAGCAAGCACAACGGAGCTACAGAATTTCCTCACGAGCAGTGCTGCACGGATGGATCATCAGGAGGAACAAGCGACGGCGACTGGTCGTGCCATGCAAGCACTGGTAACGCAGGTGTCCGAGCTCACCACTCAGATCCAACAAATGAGAGCGTCCCCTGCGCCACCCCCGCCGACCGTTCCCCAGGACCCTCCGAACTTCCATCTGCACGAGCCGCGCATCCCTACCCCTGAGAGATATGCGGGTGAGCCCAATCTGTGTAGAGCATTTTTAACGAAGTGTTCCATTTTTTTCTCTCTTCAGCCACTTACCTTCGCCACTGAACAATCTAAGGTGGCCTTGGTGATGACATTGTTGTCCGGACGCGCGGCTCAATGGGGAACGGCGGTGTGGGAGAATCAACATCACTGCTGTTCTTCGTTCCAGGCACTCGCGGACGAGATGAGACGGGTGTTTGACCGCGCGATCGTGGGCCGCGAGGCGGCGCGCAGACTCACTGAGTTGCGTCAGAACAACAACACCGTTTCGGACTATTCCATCGAATTCCGCACCCTGGCGGCCGAGTGCCACTGGAACGAAGAGGCGCAGTGGGACGTCTTCCTGCATGGGTTGGCTGACCGTGTTCAAAGAGAGAATTACACCCTGGAGTTACCGAGGAGTCTCGATGAACTTATCAGCTTGGCGTTACGCGTGGACGCTCGTCTTCAACAAGGAGGGAATCGTTCACGTCGGGGTTTGGTTCCGGAGTTTCCGGAGTTCGCCAGCGCCAGAGAGGAGAACACGGTCAGCCCCTCATTCGATCAAGAACCCATGCAGGTTGGTCGAGCTCGGCTTTCCCGGGAGGAGAAGGAACGTCGGAGAGCTAGAGGGTTATGCATCTACTGTGGCAAGGCTGGACACTTTCTCGTCAACTGTCCAGTAAAAGACCCAGCCCGACAGTAGAACGGAGGTTACTGTTGGGTGGGCTTTCAGGTATTAAATCCTCATCAGCGACTCTCCTCCCGGTAAGACTGCGATGGGCAGACCAGGCCCACACCTGCCAGGCCCTGGTGGATTCTGGAGCGGAGGGCAATCTGATGGACTATGCTCTGGCTAGACGTCTCCAGATTCCGGTCATCACACTCCAGCACCGCATCACCGTTAACGCCCTGAACGGCCAGATCCTTCCAGGGATTACTGAGGAGACCGGTGTCCTTACTGTCATTACCTCTGGTAACCATACCGAGAGAACTTCATTTTTACTCACTAACTCTCCTTTTGCACCTGTGGTGTTGGGTCACCCGTGGCTAGTACGGCATCAACCTAGGATCGAGTGGGGTCAGAATTCTGTGTCGGCTTGGAGTAATCATTGTTATGCCCCCGGAGTATCTCGACTTGAAGGAAGTGTTCAGTAAGTCTCGGGCTGCTTCTCTTCCTCCACATCGTCCCTATGACTGTGCTATAGATTTAATGCCAGGTACGTCTCCGCCTAAGGGCAAGTTATACTCGCTCTCCGTACCTGAGAGGGAGGTCATGGAGAAATATATTTCTGATTCTCTAACAGCTGGGATCATCCGTCCTTCTTCATCTCCCGCGGGCGCAGGATTTTTTTTCGTGGGTAAGAAGGATGGTTCTCTGCGACCGTGTATTGACTACCGGGGGCTGAACAACATCACGGTAAAGAATACTTATCCTTTGCCGTTGATGTCTTCAGCTTTCGAGCGGTTGCAGGGAGCGTCTCTTTTCACGAAATTGGATCTGCGCAACGCTTACCATTTGGTTCGGATAAGAAGGGGGGATGAGTGGAAGACGGCATTTAATACCCCCAGGGGGCACTTTGAATACTTGGTTATGCCGTTCGGCCTGTCCAACTCCCCCGCCGTCTTCCAAGCACTCGTCAATGACGTGTTGAGAGACATGGTCGATCAGTTCATTTATGTTTACCTGGATGACATATTGATATTTTCTTCGTCTCTCCAGGAACACGTTCAACACGTCAGACGAGTACTCCAGAGGCTGTTAGAGAATGGGCTTTTTGTCAAGGCGGAGAAGTGCGCGTTCCATGCACAGTCGGTTCCATTCTTGGGGTATATCGTCTCGTCCGAGGGAATACGCATGGATCCTGACAAGGTTAAGGCTGTGGTAGATTGGCCAATTCCGGATTCCCGCAAGGCCCTGCAGAGGTTTCTGGGATTCGCCAATTTTTACAGACGTTTCATTCGTAATTTCAGCCAACTAGCCGCTCCTCTGACCGCCTTAACCTCCACCAGAACGACGTTCAGGTGGTCTAATGCTGCTGAAGCGGCATTTACCAACCTCAAGAGCCGCTTCGTTTCAGCTCCCATTCTCGTAGCCCCTGATCCTTCACGTCAGTTTGTGGTGGAGGTTGATGCGTCGGAGGTGGGGGTAGGTGCAGTTCTATCCCAGCGTTCTTCCTCGGACGACAAGATGCACCCTTGCGCGTTTTTTTCTCATCGATTATCGACTGCCGAAAGTAATTATGATATTGGTAACAGAGAGTTGTTGGCAGTCAAATTAGCATTGGAGGAGTGGCGCCACTGGTTAGAGGGTGCGGGGGAACCTTTTATCGTCTGGACCGATCACAAGAACCTTGAGTACATCAGATCCGCTAAACGACTGAACTCCAGGCAGGCTCGGTGGGCACTTTTTTTCGGTCGTTTTGATTTTTTACTATCGTACCGTCCGGGTTCTAAGAACATCAAGCCCGATGCATTGTCTCGTATTTTTGACCGCTCCGAACGCCCAGCTACTCCCGAGTGCATTCTTCCTGAGAGACTCGTTGTCTCTACACTCACATGGGAGGTCGAGTCGAAGGTCCGCACGGCCTTAGAAGGGGTAACACCTCCGCCCGAATGTCCACCGGGTCGGTTATTTGTGCCGGAGGGGGTCCGGTCAGACGTAATACGGTGGGGTCATGGTTCCAATGTGGCTTGTCATCCAGGGGTTAAACGTACCAGTTTTTTGGTTAAGCAACGATTCTGGTGGCCCGTGATGGCTCGCGATATTCGGGAATTTGTTTTGGCTTGCTCGGTTTGTGCTCGTGGCAAGACTTCCAATCGTCCTCCAGATGGGTTGCTCCAACCGCTGCCTGTCCCTTCGAGACCCTGGTCTCACATCGCACTTGACTTTGTTACGGGTCTTCCACCTTCTCAAGGTAATACAGTCATTTTGACGGTAGTGGACCGGTTCTCGAAGGCGGCACATTTCATCCCCTTACCCAAATTACCTTCAGCTAAGGAGACAGCGGTTACTGTGGTGAATCACGTCTTTCGCATTCATGGCCTCCCGATTGACGTGGTTTCCGACAGAGGGCCCCAATTTATATCCAAATTTTGGAGAGAGTTTTGTAGATTGTTGGGGGCGAGTGTCAGCTTGTCCTCTGGGTTCCATCCCCAGACCAACGGCCAAGCGGAGCGAGCCAACCAAGATCTTGAAAGGGTATTACGATGTTTGGTGTCCCAGAATCCTTCCTCCTGGAGCCAACAGATCTCTTGGGTTGAGTACGCTCACAACTCGTTGCCAGTCTCATCCACGGGCCTATCTCCGTTTCAGTGTAGTATAGGTTACCAGCCACCCATTTTTCCTGGTCTGGAGTCCGAAGTCGCGGTCCCCTCTGCTCACGCCTTCGTCCAAAGGTGCCGCCGCACTTGGAGAAGAGCCCGTGAGACTCTCCTCCAGGTGGGAGCGCGCACCAAGGCTCAGGCCGATCGCCACCGGCTGAAGCCCCCCGTATACGTCGTTGGTCAAAAAGTGTGGCTTTCTTCTAAGAACATTCCTCTCCGCTCCGTCAGTAATAAACTAGCTCCAAAATGTATTGGCCCGTTCTCTGTCACAAAG